AATTATATTGAATATGTGTTGAATATATTATTTCATGTTATGATTAGTGTTGGTTACGTAGAATTTTATGAAGAAGAGTCTGTTCCAAAAGCTCTGGCCTTGACTGGGCAGAAGCTCTTGGGAATCCCAGTAATCGTGCAATTGACTGAAGCAGAAAAGAATAGACAAGCCAGGCTGGCAGAACAAGCGTAAGTTTAAACAACATTGTGTGATTGTAGACGAGGTGGATCTACTGACGCCAGGTCACAAATGCAGAGCATCTCATGCTACGGATATTGCATATCACCGGTTATATGTCGGATCCGTTCATTTCAATTTAACAGAAGACGATTTAAGGCAAGTTTTTGAGCCTTTCGGACCTTTAGAATTTGTAAATTTACATAAGGATCCCGAGACCGGCCGCTCCAGGGGCTTTGCCTTTATTCAGTAAGTATTTTAGCCAATAATTGAAAACCTCAATCAATGTTAATTAAAAATAATTTTATTTTAGGTATAAAAATCCAGAGGATGCAAAACAGGCATTGGAAAAAATGAATGGATTTGAATTGGCTGGAAGAACGGTAAGTTTATGCTAATTTTATTAATAAAGACAGTATGTTTCTTTGTTGTCCAGAGCGAATTAGTGTGTTTACACAGACAGATCTTAGTGACCGTTTGTATCTATCATGGTCGTCAGTTGATAGGCACTCGTTTCACGTCAATTGAATCGGAAACACGAAATTACTAGTTTTCAGTCTATAACGCAAGACTTAGTTTCTTGTTAATTTAATTATATAGCAGCACGATATAATTTTAAGATATAACTGCTTGCTCTGGACACAACATATACGTTTCCTAGTTTTAATCATTTTTAATTTTAGATTAAAGTAGGTCTTGTCACTGACAAAAGTAGCGGCATGAACCTGAACCTTGACGATGGCGGTTTGTATTTTTCACGAATTTCATGCATACTAATGGTAAACTATTCATTAAATATTTATTAATTGTCTAATACAGATGTTGCTGGCTTGGCACTCAACGCGCAATCAAGGGTGGAATTAATGCAAAAGTTGGCTCGTG